CGAGAATTGTCCGAAGACGTCCATCTTGCCTTGACCAATCGACCCACTAATGGGGGATGTTGATTTATTCATTGTTATTTACTCAGTAAATAAATAGAAGTTTTACTTTTCTTTTGGAGTACAGTGCTTGCCACGGTTTGTTGTTATGGCGTCTGGCAAATCTCTCCCAAAATTTAGTTTTGGAAGGCTTTTCTCTTCCGGTGATTTTCCGAATTCTTTTGGTTTCGATAGAGCGGACGGTAGAAGTGATGTACTTTGTTTCGCTGTAATTTGAAAAAAAGTATCATTTCATAGCAATTTCTTTTAATTAGACGTCCGTGAGCTCACTGAAAGTCCTGGAGATTGCATTCTGTAAAAACTCGAGGCCAGGCAAAGACTGTAGCAGCCATCCAAGGTCTTTGCATTGTGGACTAACTCTGGTAGTCTAAAACTTTTACCAACACAGAAAATCTGCAGGAAAAACGAGCGTTTATACGATGGTTCTAAAATTGGAAGATTCTCTCTTTCCGTTGAACATATTGAACTCTTTGTTAGCGTTATTTTTCGTTATTGCGCCAGCGACGCTATTTTGGCAAGAGAAAAGGTTTATGGGGAAGAAGGCTATATGGCATTTATGTTAGAGAGTTGGAAAACATGGCGAATACGGTAGTTTGCAACTATGAATAGGCAGACTTTTGGACTTTTGAAAAAGCAACAAGAAAAAATTGATTTCACAGCACAGTGACTAATTTCAAGAAACCTAATTTCTTTTCAGATGGCAAGAAACCGGCGGCTGCCACATCAAGACGCATCTGTCCAAGACCGCAAAGGCAGCCACATCGCTGCTGAATCAGCGCCAAACCTTTCTTGTCCCACAAGTTCCATCGTTTTTCAGCATCAGTCCAAAAACGAGCAGGTCCTGAAATTTTTTGAACTTACAAAACTCTCAAACATTTCATACACAGGTCACCAAAGCCTAGCCAACTTTCCGGCTCTAAAGTTGTGCCACAGCTGACTGTTTCGGCAAGAAACCTAACCACATTTGCCCATAATTTTGATTAGTTGATCTTCTAATGCTTGGTAGCAATCGCGATGCA